AATAACGGTATAATGATAAGCACTTGAATTTCATCTTGAATTGATTTTATCAAGATAATCCCTACAGCTTTGTTTTTCCCCATACTTATTCACGTTTTAGAGATAATTTTTGTCATATATTGATGTAATGTGTGATTACTACTTCAGTTTAAAAGCAAGTTTTGACCTTCAACCTGTAAAAATGTACATCACATTTCTTTTTAATAGAGTACTACAACAACAAAAATGTAAACCTTATGCCTTCCCCAGTTTTCTCATAGCAATATCAATGCATTGTGTTCAACATACGAAGCACATTGCTTATACAGTGTAAAAATGTGCATTATTTTATTCAGCATTTCAATTTGTATTATAAAATGATATTCATAACAAAGATGTAGATGGTGTTAAAAAAAATTAATTAAATTCCACCGATACAAAATACAGTGTACTCCAAAATTATTCTCCGGACATTGCATTCATTCTAGATAGTATTTGATTCAGCTTTGAGCTATATATTTCGATGAAACGCTAGTAATAGAACACATATTCAATACTTTTTTTGAGATGTAATATTTCACAGAGATATAGAAAATTATTTTGAAGGAAAGAGAGGAGTGAATTGCATCTTTCCTCAACACCCTCCTCTTTGGACATTCCCCAGCATCATTTCCTACTTCTAGTGTACCGATAACTCTTTATTTACCGCAGACTGATAACACATGGTCTTCAACACATGTTCTACATGCATTGTGTGTGACTAATGTCAACTGTGGGCCGTCGACCACTGTTCAAATTGTTAACCAAAGCAGACAAAGGGTTAATGTAAAGCTTTTCCTTCAGGGCCCCGTTTCATAAAACTTCATATTGGTTGGTTAGTTGGTTTTACCTGACTGCTGAGAAAGCATGTGCTTATAAGCAACCAGGGGACCGAGGGCTTTAAGTCCTCTTTGAAGGACTTGGTAATGAGGATTAATGCCTTACCAAAGGGCACTAGCGCATCAACTTGGTTTTCGAACCAGGGACCTCCCGGTTACGAGATCCCTGCTCTATCACTGAGCCATCGCGCCTCTATATCAATAACAACTGTCACATTTATATTACAAATTTTCTCTCAGCCAATCAAATGCAGCTGTTTCATTGGCTTGTAACAGTTATTGTAACTTGTTTTATTGATGACACATTATTTATTTATTTAAGAAACTGGGCCCTGATCATGTTTCTATTTCATCTCCACTTTTCCATATTTTCTTACTAATGGGATTCTACAAGAAATAACATTGACAAAGAAAGCTACGTCACATTTGCATACGGTATGCATACCAACGGCTACTTCCCACAAGACCAACAAGGCCGGCCTGGTGGGCATTCTGAAAAGTTACCAGAGGATGAGAAAAACGATGGCTCATGTTTAATACCGGCAGGTCAGTCTCACAGGCTTTCTGGTAACTTTAGGGAGGGTTCAAAAGATCGGACACTGTTACGGCTCATTCAGATAAGCTGCTGTAAACCAGCGTTTAAAAAGAGAAGTAATTTTTCAATGAATGTAACTATGTGCAACAAAAGTCCTACAATTTCTGTGTTACAAGATACAGAAATGTGAACGGTATTACATCATTATTAAAAAGAATTAAAAAAACAAAACATTCCTATTTACCTTGTCATATCTCAACACAGCTTTAGTATCATAGGCTTATGGTCGCATGGGCTTTTTAGTCTACTGGGACACCCTGCATACAACCGATATCACATTACATCATCTGGAGGATAACAGGGTTTAACAGAAAAGATAAAATATCTCAGCGGTTGTTATATTCTTTACTGGTCCAACTGTAAGAAATCTTATGACCACACCTGTCTTTCCTACAAACTGTATCTCATTTCCAGTGTGTAAGTTTTGCCGGAGGAAAACAACCATAATGAGGAAGAATTAATATCAAAATAGGAAGCAAAAAAAAAAGGAAAATGGAAAGTCAAGGCAAGCTAATAAAAAAAGTATAAGAAAACAAATATGATTGATTCTTTTATGCAGCATAATCAAGTAAACAAGTACATGTATACTAAAACCGATATTGTCTTTACATTATCAACAGTGAGAATGTAATTGGTGCTTTCATTATAATACAAATTTGCAGAAAATGAAGATCAGATCCCAATATAATGTACCAATGGAAAGATATTTGTAAACAACATCAATTATTTTAATTAAATATATATTTATATATATATATATCTATATCTTTTGCCATCAGCAGAGAGTCAGGGACTATTAATCTGTTAAAGGTACTATTGATCATTTTTTCGTTTAATTTCCTTCTGTAAAACGAAACAAGTTGATCTGTCCTTTTATTATTTCTGTGAAATTGTACACATTTTGTCCATATTGTGACTCATTTTGTTCATTTTGAAGAAGAAAAAAATGCATTGTGTTTAATAATCCTTAAATAAAGTGAATCCAGTTCATCCAAAATGAAATGAGAATTGAATTTTATAAACAGTAAATGGTACCCAGATACAATCTATTTGACAAGCAAGATCACTTCTGTAATTATCTGAAATAGAGTTATTATTTGTCACATTGATGCTTGTTTTATATATATTATTCTGTCTCTACTCAGAGAGGGAAAAAAAAAAAGATTTCAGAAGACATGATCTAACAATTAAGAGCTGCATCACAAACATGTACTCTACCAAAAGTATTGCCACTGGTTTATTTAGAAGTACTGAATGAATAATAAATTTATTTCTAAAATATCTTTTCCTTTCTCATTTAAATACAAACTGGCATACTTTGCTATTAAAATGTTAGTTCAGTACACTAGCTTAAAATACACATGTATACTTAAAACACAAATTAATCCCTTGAGGCTTTTTCAGAAATGTTGCGGTAAACCACCGCAAAAAAACTCCATATTTGTTAAAACGTGCAAACGAATGGAAACTGCGCACAACAAGGGACTTGTGCGTTTTCACTAAGCTCTGTGTTATAACATACAGAAACGTGAGGGGTGTTTACACTATACGTCGTCATTCACAAACCGCGTCATGTCTGGACAAGCCTTTATGCGGATCCCCCCTGGTTTTAAATGCCATTGAAATGAGCCTTGTATTCTCAATCGGAAAGTCTGACAATCACCATGATTTTGCCTTACCTTACTCCCACAGACCCATATTTCAACTGAGTTTGTACAGTGTTTCCGTCTATGGCACTCATAAGCTCAACTAGAAGGCTGATGTGACAGACATCAACAAAACAGTATCTGGTTTCCAAATAATACAAGGCTTGTACAATGCCACAGAACTTAACAATTGTTGAAAACAATAACAGAGAGATCAGTGAAGGTCGCATGTAGGACAATCAGCGAAGAAAACATGAAGAGATATGTATCAACTCTGCAATCCATGATATTAAGATGCCATATGGTAAAACGTTACATTTCTATTTACACGTTATACACTTATAGTTCTTGAGACGCCCTATATTCTTGCAAGATGAACATGGGCGGAGGATCTTGGAGAAAATATGAGAGAAAGTCATATAAATGTTTAAATCTTGAACTGCATTTAAATATAAATGAAAACATGGACATACTCATAGTTCTTTGCATAAACTTCTACATGTGTCTAAACCCAAATCATATATTAATTTGCACTCGATCTTCAAACCTCAATACTATTTTTTTTAGAGAGAAAGTGCATGGAACTTTATTTAATACCAAAATATACTGTTTGTTTCTTGTAGCAAAATGTAATAAATTAGAAGACATGAGCTGTATCTAAAAGCTTCAGAAAGCTTCAAAATGCCCTTGTACAAACCTCTTATTTTTATATTATTTTGACAAAAAAGCTGAGGTGTCTTGGTCCAGTGCATAGTGGTCTACTTGCTCTGGAGTGAGAGTTCAATGGTCGCAGGTTGAAGCCCCAGCACGTTTCTTATGTCTTTGAGCAAAGCATTCCATCTGCATTGCTCCACTCCATCCAGGTATTAAATGGGTATCTGGTAGGATGTGTAAGTCATTATAGTTGGATCATTACGTGGAAGCCCGTAAAAAGGCAACCGGCTGAAATGCTCCCCTGGGAGTGGGGAGTGTGCACTGTACAGTGCAGTATCATACTGGAGTCCAGTGACAAGGGTTATAATAATACTGTAAGCGTTTTGGTCTTTTACATTTTTACTGTCTAAAAAGACCACATTTTTTGTTTCCCTTGAAAATGGTTTCTCATTGAAACATGTACTAAAGGAACCTGTCTACAAAGACTACCTGTCTACAAAGACCAGCTGTCTACAAAGACCAGTGGCGGATCCAGGGGGGGGGCCCGGGGGGCCCGGGCCCCCCCCCCTTGAGAAAAAAATCATGTAAAATCACGTGATTTTTACCTTTTTTGGGGGTTGGGCCCCCCCCCCTGGCGCTCAAGGGGGGGGTGCAAATTGAAATTTTTTTGAGGATCAAAAAAAAAATGTGCTCACTACCCCCCCCCCCCCCCCCCCCCCCCCCACTGAGCGAATTTTTGGCCGGCACGTTTTTCAAATTTTCGGGAGCAAAAAAAAAAAAAAAAAAAAAAAAATGTGCTCTGTATGACACCAACCCACACCCCCCCCCCCCCCCCCCCACTGAGCGACTTTTCGGCCGGCGCGATTTTCAAATTTTCGGGAGCAAAAAAAAAAAAAAAGTTGGGCCCCCTCCCCTAAGAAATCCTGGATCCGCGCCTGACAAAGACCACTTTTTGTGTTTCCCTTGGGCGGTCGCTATAGACAGGTTTGACTGTATCAAGTTCAAATGGATACGCAACATAATCCCAGGGTCTCATGACATCCGTCATTAATCAATCCCGTGTAATATCATTGTGGTATTTCATCTTCTTTCGGCCTTCTCGACCCAGGTGTGGGTACGTGGTAGGATCATCCCTTGAGATGCACTGTGTGCTGGCCAATGCTCCCGAGCCGATACAGGGGTGATCAATTACAGGAGTACTTAGGAGCGTGTAGAGACTCCACTGCACAGGAACAGAACTTTTTTTTTTTTAAACTGCATCTTTACTTCACGACTGCATGATTTTGTCACAAAATGCAAAGACAACTGCAAGCCAATTGAATAAATACACCACACAACCAAAACACAAATTTGAGCAAAAATCTGCAAAATGCCTCAAGATCCCATCTTTCCTCAATGACAGCATGCAAATGGACTCATGATCTGAAAGAGTTGAAATAAACAATGTATACAGCATATATGCGTATGTTGCATGACGATTACTTAATTGTTTCTTTGTTACTTCGATGAGAAAAAGTTATAAAAGTGCTCCTGTATTAAAAAACGAAATACGTCTCACAGTGGTGAGTTACACAAACATATCTCCTCAAGTGATTTATGCATATCATTTGAAGAGTGTGGAACAGCTTTCCACAAAGGTCCACACAGTTTGAACTGATCCTTTTTGTTCACTCTATCCGTCAACAAAGGTGAGCATTGTTCGAACCAAAAGTATCCAAACTATGCATGGTCGAACATTCACCATTCATCAATCAGAATAACGTCTCACACTATGGATGGTCTGATGATATAAGTGGTGGTGGTGGTTATTTTACCTGACTGCTAAGAAAGCATAAATGGTTGTTAGTAAGCAACCAGAGGATCAACGGCTTTAGGCCCTCTCTGAGGGACCTTAGGTTCTCTCCGAGGCATATAGTTCTGCCCGTCTAGCTCACTGTTCATCAAAAATGCTAAAGAGGGGGAAAAGGGGACCATCTCATTTCTTGAGGGTACCACCATCATTGTTCTTCGGCCTGTAGCTCTCCTCCCTATTCTGCGACAAATCCTTGAGCGCCTTTGTCTTCTCCATATCGAGATGGATATACTCCACCTGATCTTTTGGCGAGGTCGGCTTAGGTGGGCGTGGCAAGGTCGCGGGGCTGTCGCTGTCGTGATCCAGCTCCAGGTACTCCACCGTGTGGCTCCGTGGTGGGAGGGTAGGCGAGGCGTGAGCGTGGATGGTGGAGTCGATGCTGCCATGACGGGTCTGAAATTGATGAGACTGGTTTGTCATATTGTGGCCAAGGCGGCGATTAAGTTGTTATATTTAGGGGGGATGAGGAAGAAAGAAGAGAGAGAGAGAGATGAGATGAACACTTTGTCAGTTTGATTGTACCATTGCAAGATGAGAATCACTGTTACTTTTAATACTCGTCGAATCGTTGAGAGCCAGAAGGGTGATGTATTAAAGGTACAGGGTTCACACCCTTCTGGTTATATGAAGACAATTCAATGTCATATTTTGCAGTGCTTTAATCTGATACGCAAGCATACTTTGATAAAATGTGTCATGCAAATTCTGATCTAATGTGATGGTGATCTTCTTCTTCTATTTTTTCCCTTCTTTTAGGGGGGGGGGGGACATTTAAAGTAAAATCAAATCAAATAATAAAGTGTGAGTGTGGGCTAGAAGTTTAAGTGTGCTTTTATAGATTTTTTTGTGATTTCTACCTTAAATAATCGTACATGTTGATTCTGGACATTTCCGATTATCAATTTCTGGAAGGGGGACTATATTCTTTATGCAACTCATAAGCAGTCTACTGGATTGTGTTTCTTTGATTCAGTGTATAAAACCTTTATCTGAAAAAAAGGAGGGGGGAGGGGCGTGAAAACAAATAAATCGGAAAGGGACATATTGATCAATCTACAAAATGGTGGGGTGTGGGGGGTGGTGGTAGCAGTGAATCTTGCAGTGGTACAACGCAAACAAAAACAAAAGAGAAAATAAAGAAAACAAAGATGAAATGGAAAGTGCAAGGTTAGGAAATGTACAAAAAGGGAAGAATGGTAACATATTTCATGCATATTTCATTTCTATAAAATAAAATTCAAAATTAATTTAAAATAAACTTAAAATTCTTGTGATGTAAATTTACAGCAGCAAAGCAAATTAAGACTAAGAACTAGTCTACATAAAAAAAATGGTCTAAAAAAAAAATCTAAAACCATTCCAGGTTTCATTAACAGGCTTGTATCTCTACATATACATGTATACAAAAACAATAAAACATTTCCTGATACCAGTTATAAAAGTAAATAAAAAAAGTGATTTGTTTAGTTTAGTGGTGCTATACGTCTCACTGCATTGAGTGCTTTGTTAAAAGGTGTTGCCAAATTGTAAAAATTATACTAATTTTTGCTGTGACAACAATAAGTGTACTTTAACATCAGAACAATTTTGCAAATGGGAAATTATCACATTGCAGCACACTTTTTTCTTCACTTCTTAGAATCAAGTTTTTCTAGCTGAACAATTCAGTCTCTACAAAATATGATTATTAATACTATTTCATTTTCCAATACCCTGTTTAAGAATGCAGATGTTACTTTCATTGTCATAGTTGTTTTTATTATTGTCACCACTATGTCAGTTTATGCTTTTCTGGTGTTACCCTTTAATGGAATGTGGAAAAAAAACATGAAGATGAACCAATGTTGTCATTATCACTGGTATTGCAGTTGTCACTGATACAATTGTTACTATTATCACCATCGTTGGCATTGTCAAAGTGTCATCATCATCATTGTTATCGTCATAACAGTCACTGTCATTGTCCTTGTCATCAAGGGTGTCTTCCTCTTTGTTTTCATTATTGTCCCTGTCACTGTCATTATCGACATCATCTTCCAAGTTGCTATCATCATCATCATCATCATCATCATCATCATCAACATCATCATCATCATCATCATCATCATCATCATCATCATCATCATCATCATCATCATCATCATCATCATCATCATCATCAACATCATCATCATCATCATCATCATCATCATCATCATCATCATCATCATCATCATCATCATCATCATTGTCAATCATCAGTGTCATTGTTATTGTCCTGTTTCTCATCATTCCCAATGTCGTCATTGTCACTGCCCTTGTCCGTGTCGTTGTCACTGACGTTGTTATTGTCATCATCATTGCCATTGTCACATTGTCATCGTCTCCATCATCATCATCATCGTTACCGTCTTCCTCTTCATCTGCATCCTTGTCATCACCCTCATCAACATCCTCACCCTCATCATCCCATACTCACCTCTATTCTGGGTTTGGTGTGAGGAGATGAGTCTTAGAAGACGTAGGATTCGTCCATCGACGGAAGAATGGAGTCAGTGTCATTGTCATCACTATAGTCAACGTCACTGTCATTGTCATGGTCTTCTACTTCGTCATCATCATCATCATCACCGTCATCACTGTCATCGTCCCATACTCACCTCTATTCTAGGTTTGGTGTTAGGAGCCGGGTCGGGGAAGACGTACGGTTCCTCCATCGACGGAGGGATGGAGTAGGAATCGTGGTCCGGGTGAGAGCTGCTCGAAGAATGCACGCTTCTGTGCGGGCGGGGCGGGGTGCCCTGGAAACCGGCAGGCTCTCTGTGACTGTGTCTGGACATGAGGAGACAAGAAGAGAATGAAATTCACCGCTTTATAGGCGCTTTACTCAAAACAAATCTACTTTACTTTCATAGATTCAAGATTGTCATGTACATGTAACAACACCCTCGTCTTGATATAATGCAATGGATGGGGAAAAAAGGGGAATCGTTTCATTGTCTTCCGGTACTCTAAAAACATTATGTCAATTAAGTTCAGTTCAGTTAAAACCACACAAAACATGATATAATATGTTTATTTTGTTCCATTGCCATGTAATACAAAGATTAATACAATGCTATATGAAAAAAAATATTGATGTGTACACAGAAAGCGAAGTAATGACATTTTGTCTCATAAAGAAATCTTTTTATGTAATAATAATAATATTGAATATTTTTATAGCATGCATATCCACCACGAGGGGTACTCAGGGGGCTCCAATATTAGCCAGGCTCTGCTAGGCTACCATTTTGGGTGATCACACCATTCAAGGAATTTCTTCCTACCGGTACCCATTTAACACTTGGGTGGAGAGTGGCACGCAGATTAATTTTTTGCCAAATGACACTTCTACACTTCTATTTTGAGGTTAAATTATAGAAGTGCCAAACATGCATCTTTGAAACTGTCGCAACAAGATAAGAACATGTATGCTCTTATGAAATGAGTATAACCCAATACAAGCTCTCTGTTATTGGAGTGTTTACATTATCACTTTAGCATTAAAGGAGTAGTGCTTTCTCACAATCATTTTAATAGGATTCCTTTGTTTTTCATCAGTATTGATGTACTGAAGTAATGAAGTACTATGCTTAAGTTTAAATAATGGCTGCTAGGAAAACAGCACCATGCCACCTAGAAACATAGTACTAGGCATGTTAAAAATTCACCTTATTATTATTATTCATTTGCTGGTAATAAACTCAGCAAGGTGCATGTATGACTAATTGACTATGATTATGAATGAATATCAAGATTTGTCAATGCAGCAAAATAGTATTTCACAGCCCCTGTATCATGTCATAAGACTGGCTCAAAGATGAGGTGGGCATCACAATAAACATTAGGTGGGATTTGTCTCTTTCAGGTGTCACAAACAAAGGTGTTGACACACGTCCCCTGATCTATTTAAGTAAATACTATTTCCAATTTGGGGTAAACCCTTTACAATAGGCCTGTCATCATCAGACCGAGTTTGCCAAATAGCCTGCTATTTTAACTATCTCGATCTCAAATTAGCCAACTAATTTGCGTTTTCATCAGCCCGAAGTTGCAATTAGCAGGATATTTGGTCGAGAAATCTTGGTCTTGTTTCCAAAATATCCAGCTATTTGGGAAATAGCGGGCTAATTTCGCTAGTTTGTGATGAGCGTATCGGTCTGGTGAAGACGCAATTTCGAGCTTTGGGAAAATATCCCGAGTCTGAAAATAGCGGGTTATTTTGCAACTTCAGTCTGATGGAAACAGGCCTAATTAGAGTAAATATGCTTGCTTTGTGTCAAAGTCACTAGAGTATGAAATCCAGGTATACATGTACAATGGCAAACTGTCTCATATCTCTTCACACAGGTAACCTAAATAACCCTTATCAATAAATATTTTTAAAAAAACATCTGAAGCATGGATAGAGAAAAACAATTCCTAGACTGTCTGACTAGCTGCAGAATGACAATAAATGAAAAAACTTCAAATACAATTTAAAAGAAAGAGGAAATGCATCAATAAATATTTATAAGCTTATATGAATTTCCCTGGGTGAATAGTTTGTTTTTCTTCATGCTGCTTCCTCTTTGAAATTCGTAATGTTTTTCTTGTCGCAGTACTGTGGCTGCGGGGGAAAACCCTACTGCTTGCTTGGACAGCAGTAAATACGTGATTGTATAACTAGTGCAAACTTTACCATGTCACAACTATCTCAAATCGGTTTCTTTGCAGGGATTAGAAGATAATGGTTGGTTTAATCACTTGAATTAGCCCAAAAAGGAACAGATAATTTATTAAAGCTCTACATGTATATGTAATCTGAAGCCTGAAAGGCATTAGATAACATAAAACAGCAAAGTAACACGACCTGAAATCTACATATTGCCTCATGACTGGCATCCCTAATGAACAGTTGCGCAGGATCATCGAAGGCTATATATATATTACTGAAAAGGAGTGATGTCTCAGTGTCACATCAGTGGTCTTGTGACTGCGATATACCAGTTTCAGACTAAGTTAATGCCCTTTTGTAAATCTAAGTCCCTAAGATAGGACTCAAAGCTGTAGGTCCCCTTGGGTGCTCATCTAAAGTACAAGCACATTTTAGCAGTCGGGTAAAATACATCTGAAAATCAAAGTATATCCATCTGGTGCCGGCTTTACATTACATAGCTATTTTTGTATTTTCTGAATGATATCCCCCCCCCCCCTTAAAAAATAATAATAATACCTTACCATAATGGCCAATTTCATGAGAACATATTCCTTCATGAGGAAGTTACCTCTGCTCTACATCTCAAAATCATTTTCATATCATGTTTCTTTATCACAGAGCTCAGTATATTGAAAGGTCATTTCAGTGATATCCTTAATTCCTTAAACTATCATCTCTTGTTTTTTTTCATGTTGACCTGCCAATGAACAGACACTAAAAGTTACATCAAATATTGAAGCTATGAAAAACATGGTCTGCTGAGTTAATGCCATTCTGGCTCTGAAAAAACCATATACGATTTTAAGCTGTCAAGAAAAGTGTCCTATCATCATATTTCCAAATGATGGACTTTGAAAGGGTTAGCTATATCATGACCCGATAGCATTTAACCTTACAATTCAAACATCGCAGAATGTACTGTTTAGCCAAATACCCACTTCTAGGCCATTGTTGTGGCTTTAAGGGGTGTTGTACTTTGATATGTGTGTAAATAAAGAGAGAAATATGCATGGAGAAGGAAAGAGAGTGGCAGACTATGTCACAAAGATAGAGGGGTAGAGCATAGGAGGAAGGAAGAGAGAGAAAGAGAGGGAGAGAGGGAGAAAGAGAAAGAGAGGGGGGGGGGTAAGATCAGAGTTACTAATTACTGTATGTATCAAAATGATACAGAGAGAGAGAGAGAGAGAGAGAGGAGGGATTGCAAGAGAGAAAGAGAGGAGATAGGCAGACAGATCTATAGGCAGACACATAGGCAGAGACAGAGACAGAGAGAGAAAGACAGACAGAGAGAGAGACAGACAGACAGCGAGAGAGAGACAGAGAGAGAGACACAGACAGAGAGAGACAGACATAGGCAAACAGAGAGAGACTGATAGATGGAAAGACAGTCATACATAATAAGGAAGAGAGGAAGATAAGGAAAGAGTTAAAGATATATGGTGATACAATACACAGGGATGCCAGTCAGTTTTACTCACTGGGCCTCTGAGTGAAAAGAAACCAGAACATGTTAAAGCCCCATATGTGCTGTACAGTATAAAGCCTGAAAAAGCCTGAAATGGGAAGTTGTCAGGACCTGAAATCAGGCAAAAGTCTGAAGACTGGCATCTCTGAATACAGAGAAAAACTCGGAGAGAGGAAAAACATAAATTTAGAGAGAGAAAGAAGGAGGAATTATACCTGGCATATATAATACAGAGTCAGGCTTATTTACACACAGAATTAGAGGAAGTTTATATGGTATTCTAACATCACAGCTAATTTAGACAGCTTACACAGTATGAAACAACAACTGAACAGAAGTGGATCTAATTTCCTGAATCCTTCAAAATGGAAACTGAAACTTTTCTCTGTATGTTAAAAGCTTTAGAATCTCTGATCATTTTTTATACACAAACACTTCCTATATTAATCTTTGAAAATTATAACTTTCACTTCTTTGTTTCTAAGCACCAGCAAGTCCAGCATGAAAGAATAAGTTAGATTTATATCCTGCACACGTACAGAGAGTTGGGTTGGCAAATTTCCTACACCAGGAAAGTCCTGAAAATTCACAAACTTGCCGGATAAAAACTGTTCCTAAACGCTTCAAATTGATAATGGTACCACACATGCACAAGCATTAGAAAGCAAAGCAAGATATAATCAAACATAAACTAACAGACAAAACAAAAACCAGAGAGGACAAATTAACAGACAAAACATAACACATCATTCAGAGAAGTGGTTCATATCATTTGATCCAATTAAGAACATTAATACCGTTTTCGCACTGGCAAATTTTTGCTTAACCCCGTACTATAGGTGGGTTAAGGGGGGTCTTAGCCCCACCTATAGTCCGGGGTTAAGCCTATTCCACTTTCTGTTCAGACTCGTATTTAGCAAAGAGGGCTAGCCCCACCTATAGTACAGGGGAAGCTGGCCCTGCAAAATAGCAGGGCTAACCTCGCAATTGTGGTGTTAACTCCGCAATTGCGGTGCCAAGCAAATGAATGAGAACAGAAACGAAAAATAGTCCGGTACTACGCAATGGAGCGTATCGCAGCTGACCAGATGCGAAGTAAGGAGCCTACTGTCTAATCAAAGACGACGTATTCATGAATATGCATTTTCCGTAAAGCACTATCGGTGCGAAAGCTCATATGAAGTCCCCCTGCTAGTGCGAGCAAGTACGCAGCTGCAGAAAATGCCCTAATGAATATTCACGATATAGAGCTAGTCCGGGGCTAACGAATTGCAGTGAGAACAGCGTGAATTTTCTTATTCCGGAATAGGCGCTAGTACAGGACTACAAACAGTGTGTGTGAAAAGCCAAAACAGTTAGTCCGGGGTTAAGGATAGAAAGGGCTAAGCAAAGTACGGGGTTAAAGGGATTGTTTAACAATGTTAAATCTGAGATACACGGCCCTAAGTGTTATCAGTGTCTGTGATATGGTGTAATATTGAAGCCCTAAAAAAATTGCGCTTCAAAATGATCAAGAAGTGCCTCAAAAAAGTAAAAAATCTTTGAGTGACCGGTTTTACCATACTCGTTTTCCCCAATAGACTGTAGTGTTATGAAAACCGTCAGGCGAACGGTTTTCAAAATTTGTAATTCCAATCATAAATATCTTGATAATCAGACAGGCGATCGGCTTGTAAAAGTCATGGGGCTCCTGACTGACCTAAAGGTTTATCATTATCATTGCATCATGAGCTAAATCCAGAATTTTGTTTCAGAATCTGAGACAAAGTTACCGGATCCCTTTAAGCAAAACCAGTGTGAAAAGAGTATTACAAGAGGAGCACAGGCAAACAAGAAGTGCCACAAGTCCCTGACAAAGGCCGACAAAGACCGGCTTGTACCAGTTATATTGTACAATGCATTGTTGAAGCTTAATCAGGTTTCAATGTTAATGACCTTTGACCTCACAACAAACTAAACAAAATGACTCTGTTTACATTTGAGAGGAGTAAAAGATCTGTGTCAGAGATCTGCATAGAGAGTAGTGCCAAATATCAATACAATTGAAAGCATTATTAGGTACACATGTACCGCTAAGAATGAATTAATCCAGTTTTCTATTGACTTTTTAGGCATTATTTCTCATGGATGATCAAATCCATTCCTTGCATATATTGAATGGAACTTGTACTGAAATATTTTGCGCTGTGATTACGTAGTTCAATCCGCACAGGTGAAGCATGACACAACTGCCTTATTTGATTCGATGCCGGCTCATGACTATGTCACCTATACTTGTATTAAAGCCTGTCTGCACTTGTGTGGCCAGGAGGGATTAGACCACCCAGCGTGGTCACTGACAGGTGGCTATCTCATCAACTCAGCTCTAAATTAACATAAGAAAAAGGGGACTATGGGGGATCACCAGGTACCACTTAGGCATTGTTGGCTATATAGAGGGCGCAAGTAGCTATAAGTAGTGCAGTGGGGCTTTGAAGAGACGTGGTGACTTGTTGGTAGAGAAGTCTGCACAGTGGACTGTGAATAGGTCAAAGGTCAAAGATAGCGAGTGGACCCCTATACTCTTGATGTAACGCATGGACTGTGAATTCCCTCCTTTCTTAAATATATGAACATTAGGCCCGAGTTATTTCGGTTTGTAAACCAGGCCCTGATTAACTGTCCCTGATTTGATTTCTCTCATCCCCTACACCAATCTTCTCATGTGGGAAAACAATATAGTTTGGGCATCTGCTTTGAACATGCCTTTTGCTGGCAATAGAAAGATGGCCAGAAATTCACCTTTTTTCATAACATACTTTTACACCAAGTGAAATTTCATGCCACAGTTCATTGTCCTATAGAAAATATTATATACCTCTCTTTAGTATGTTGAATAAATCAAGTCATCTGTGTGCCTCGGGTCATGACAGGATGTAACGTCCCCTTGAGCCTATAGAACCAGCTATGCCTTTTACAGCAGTCAATAGATTTCATTAAACAACTACAGTATCTATTCTTGGAGACCTGTTTTTAAAAGTCCATTTTGCTTTCAAAATAGTGAATATTTCCTCGTTTTTCTTCTCACTAGTCATGTGAACATGTTCACAAATGCAAATTCGTGATCACTCACATAATCTACAGGTTGGAGAAGGATAAACACTAAGAGAAAATCACTATTTTAAAAGTTAGATGCACATAGTTTCTCATCATCGTCATCACTGTTGATGTCTTATCGGCCATGATTTCTTGACAGAATTTAAATACCTTGATGGTCTCTTGCTGAAGCTCTTTGTACGTAGGTTCTGGACCGGGAAGTCTTGTGGAAGCTCAGGACCCGTAGCATAGAACGATCCTTCCATACCTAGCGTCTCTGGGTTTAAAATAGCTAAAAACAAACAGACAAACATACATAAATAATAATGATGATTTATACTCTCTTGTCTACAGCGCATTTATCTATGATATGCATATAATGTCCCTTGTCAAGACATTAATCTACATTTGCCATACTCCACCTAGGTGAGGTAAATGGGTACCCGGTAGGGTAGGAAGAAATTCCTTGAATGCTTGAGCACCTTTTCACGGTAGCTCGGCTAAAGCCGAGTAAAGATATGATTGCAGGGCCCTCAGGGAGAACAGTATGTATACTGATGAGGCTACCCTGGGTAAACAAGATATATTATCATTATTACATCCTGATGCAATTCCAAAGAGTTTGGAAAACTGCTACCCTGGAGTTCTTGCTCCGGCTCTAAAATTATATGAAGTGTACAATATATTTCCAGATTAATCCTACCATATGCAATCTCTATACTACACCAGGGTTGAGAGTGGCAAATGTGGATTAATGTCATGCCTATGGGCAATAGCATGTCTCAAGGATTCCATATTTTGAGATGTGCAATAGCTCAAAACTTGACAAATCAATATGCTCCCATCCAACAAGTTGAAAATGGATTCACAGTAAATTTGAATTAATACACCCGTCAAATGACGAAGTTCTTTAAAAAAGAAGTAAAGGAGAATTTTAACCTACATGTAAATTTGTAAGCGGTCATTGATGCAGTTATGGTGGGGTCTGCTTGCTATTTATAAGGGCCGCTATTCATTTTGTCATGCTTTATGGATAGCGGTCCTTATGAATAATGGTCCTTATGAATAGCTCTCCTTTAATACGGATAGCGAGCTTGACCCATTATGGGATGTTACCTTTCGACATCAAATACATCGAGCTCTAGATTGTATTAAAATAATAGGATACCACAGGGAAAGGAAGGTACCGTATACATACTTGAGTCTGTACTCCTGGGCTTATTCCTCCTGTCAATAGGGGGCGGAATACTATCTCCGCTGGCCGTGGACGAGATGCTGATCATGGAGCTGGTGCTCTGGCGCGGTGGCCTGCGGGGTACCACCGGAGCCGAGGAATTCATCAGGGTGTACATCTCGGGGCTTCCCTCGTTCTGGCTCTGCATGTGCATGTAGCTCTCCTCTGTGATGGGGGCCCCTAGTCCACCCTTAGGAGTTTCACTACTTCCTAAAAGATTTCAAAAGGAGATCCATGAATGATACAGCTAAACCCCTCAAAAAAGCCAGGAACCTCAAGTTCAATTGATTATACAGTCAAACCTGCTTTAGTGACCACCTTTCTACAAAGACCACATTTTTTGTTTACCCTGAAAATGGTTTCTCATTGAAACATGTACTAAAGGAACCTGTCTACAAAGACCACTTTTTGTGTTTCCCTTGGGCAGTCACTATAGACAGGTTTGACTGTATCTCCTATGTTTAGTATCAATAGAAAAGTTGTTTATTCTTCTTTAAAATGATACCCTGTCTGTTATGATTTTTTCAGTCATGGAATGTGCATTACATCAAAATAAGGGGCGAGGTCAAAGGTGGAAAGTTTTCAACCGTGCATTCTTCTTGCTTTGAAGAGTGTAGGGCTGCTGTGTAGTGCACTGCATAATAATAACAGTGCTTACCAGTGCATTTTGCAACTTTTTCAATGTTGACCCTGCCCCTTATTCTGATGTTACATGATGTAGTGCTCACTCTATGGCTGCAACATCATAACAAATATGGTATCATTTTAGAGGGGAATAATCATACTTTCTATTGATATTAAACAAAGCAATAGTTATCCCATGACAAGAGAGATATGATTGATCAAACTTGAATTTTCAATTATTATTATTTGTTTTTAAATATTTTTTTTTTGGGGGGGGAGGGGGGTTCTTTTGCTGAAATTTCTGGTACCATAACAATTTCTTTAAGACAGTTTATACATGAAGGACAATTAGGCATTGGAATGGATTTAATATTGAAAGTGAATGTCAAGGTCTATTACTAAGCATTTATGGGTACTTTAATCTCCATCCATCCATTGATGGCAGCTACAAGTAGCAATGTGTATTAGATTATGACTATCATATTTTCATTGCGTAGTCAAACTGAGTGGTTCCTGTACTGAGCTATAATAAATATATGCTCATTATGAAAGATCATTTATGTTAATTGGATATTCATGTGTGTATGTATACAGTTCAGTTTCATATTACAGTGCTTCATACGTTATGTTATGCCAGTAATCAAGACAAGAACATGGCACTTATGATCCTTGAGCAGTAGATGATGTTAATCAACAACAAATCTTTGCTCACAGTTGAAGCACGAACATACAGACGACTCAAGCGAGTACAGTACGTAGAATTATAGTAACCAATGTAAAACATGCTATGAGTAGATTGCTTTTGCCAAGGTTGGATTTCCCTTTAATATTGAAAGTGAAAGGAATCTATTAAGAAATTGGTGGTTTTTCTCATCCTGCACAAGTGGTTGACCAACAAATTGAAAAATAATGACAGATATTTAATTCAGTTCAGTATGTGGTTAAACTAAGTCAGTATTTTACTTAGCATTTTCCTTGGCCAAGTAGTATGTTTTGAGGGGGAAGTTCACCCTGATATAAAGTTGGTTTAAGAAACTTTACAATCATACATTCACCCTAAATATAATTAACAAAATGTGTTTTTATACAACCCCTGTATGAAACAAGTCTATTTAGTCATCAATACAAGTCTATTTAGTCATCAATACATGTAGCTAAGAAAAATAAAAGTTTATGAAATTTTCTGTAGAGAGCAAATTAGAGAGGAGCTCACAAGATACGTCACAGTTTTGCCAATTCGTGTTTCACTAACGACAACTGAAAAAACTCATAACTTTCCTAGTTTTTAATCAGATATTGCTCCACTATCACTAATTTTCGTTCACCCATTTTTCTGCTGTAATTAAAATCAAGATAATATCAGGGTCATATGCAGATCACATCAGAGCATTTTACTTTTTAGTAAGTCAACTATATTCAGGTGAAGTACTTTCTGATCACCATTGTGACAACACATTGTCAATTCAAAATAATGCATTAACATTTCTCATTAAATGCGTGTTAAATTGTGCTGGGCTTACGATGACTGCCTTTGAAACCCACATGCCTGCCTATCAAGGCCTCCAAAATAATTGGCATGAGTCTGCTAGGGAGCTGTCTTAAATCTAGGGTAAAATACTTAGCCAAAATCTTGAACTGTATACCAAAGTTGACGAAAGTATTTTATCTAAGCCGAAATTTTTTATCTAAAACGTTATCTAATACGTTAAAATTCAAACTGATGACAAAAGGCAAGTACATGATAGTACTATACAGTATGAGATCAATTTTGTTACAAGACGTCGTGAGACAATGTATGTCAAGGAAAACAATTCATTATCTCATGATTACTCCTACAATTGATATCCTGAACAACTCTGAAATACTAAAATTCTTTAAGTCTGAAAACAAAAATGTTATCCTTCCAAAATCAGAACTATTGGACGAGGTGTCTACTTTACCTTGCATGGCCATATAACTCCCTGGTGGAGGCTGACCGTTCATGGTTCCAGACTGACCATTCTGGAAACCCATGGCTGGAAAGGTTGCTCTGGAGCCAGCGGACACGGTATTCGACCTCATGGGAATATAGCCTTTGGGATTGAAAGAAGAGTTCGGTCTAGCCAAGGCATTGGCTGTACCAGCTCGCTTGGTGTTCACATACTTGACGGGAGGCTGTATCACCTGGTCCATCCACATATGCTGGTGGTTGGCCATGCTTGGGGGATTCTTTGTCTCGATGCTTGTCAGTCTCCGTCTCATTTCGTTGGGTGAGAAGCGATGGTTGGGTGGCATGGGCGCAACGTAAGTTTCATCAACGCTCGACGGGGGCGTGGAGGGGCACATAGTCAGTGGCTTTGCTGGGCGGGGTGGGGCCTCCATGGCCGTGGAGGAAGGACCCAAATCCTTGAAGACACTACCGAAGGAAGAGTTTGATCCGATGGAAGCATTCAGATCCATTGCAGGGACAGGATCATACGTCGAATGTTCCAGATCACCGTTTGTAAACGACTGATTGGCATTCTGTTGAGAGATCTCCTCAAATGACTTAGCCAAGTTGTCGGTTGATTTACTGATCTGTTCCGTATTTTTGAGATGTGAGGGGATTTTCTGCATAGGTGTCTTCTGCATGGGACTAGGTAAGAGATCATACGTGCTATCGATCTGCGGTGACGTAGGTGGAATATCATACAAAGTGTCTGTTTCAGCTTCCAAACTTAATCTGGAAGGGGGTACCTGATAGATGTCTTCCGTGACAGGTGGAGGCGGTCTTGGTGGAGGGACTTCGTAATTTGATTGGGGAACATTACCCTCCACCGACTCAAAACCACTCGATCTCCTATCGTTAAAACTTGGGACTGTGTCGTAAGTCTGCCCCGTTACCAGCTCATCAGAATTTGAAAACGAGCCCCTGTTGCTGGATGCTGACGATATCTGCCTATCAAACTTAAAGCTTGTCGGATCCTTGCTCGCTGGCACTACCTTGTAAACAGACTCTTCAGTTGTTCCTGAAGGTCGCACAGGTATAGGAGGAGCATCCTCTGTTATCCTTACCGGAGGAAAATCATAGATATCCACCATGATTCCTCCATCAATCTGCGACGTTGGTCTGGAGTCTGGTGGGGAAGGTGCCGAGTCACTAGGGGCACTGCTGGAGGAGCTGCTCATTGTATCGGAACTCTTTGGTTGTCCGGCTTGCAGCGCATGCTGCGAAAGTGTTGTCTTCGCATTCAGCTTGGGTGGCAGACCATTGCTTGATGGCCCTGTCTCACACTCAGCCATATCAATGTAGGATTCATTGCCATTGGTAAGAGGAGGCTGTGTGGTAGTGGTAGTTGTAGGAGGGAATCCCGCATTGAGGGGTGTCTCTGCAAATCTTGCAGGAGAGCCTGGGCCATCTGTTTGGTCCGAGACGGTCGATACTGTCAAAGAAACAACAGAGAGAAAAGAATCAGCTTACAATAATCTACTCTATGCATAGCTATAATAGGAAAAGAATACTGTGTCTATGAAATAAGAAACAAAGACTTCCCCGAGGCACATGTAAAACATTTATAACTTGGAATTTCATTGATTTTATAATCTTTTTCTTGCCTTGTCCACCTTTAAAAGTATTGTATGTTCTTTTCCTTCAACTTAATTGGGATATTTTACTCATTTGAAACTTCTCTTCCATAGATTCACTGATTTCTAATCAAATTCTGGCTGACTTGTATGATTTCTATTTATTGCAATCAAGTCATAGAACCATTGACGTAAGAGGAAATCAGTGCACAATAAAGATAATACTTGTGTACTAGTCAACTACAATGTAAGAGAAGCAAGAACAGCGAGTGGACTTTGTATATTCTTTAGAGCTTACTAAAAAATATAGAAAAGATTGTCGGCATGTTTTTATAACCGGCAGCTCTGATAAGAAGTTTTCATGTTGGTTAAACTTCCTCTTCGGGTACAAAGACTTCCTTCTAATCTGCAATGGTACTATGACAACATGTACATATTATGTTCATCGTCACCTCTGTTGACTTTGATCAGAAGGAAGTAAACCTACATGTATGAACCGGGACCTAAATAATACAAGCTTTGCTTTTTAGTAGATCCCCCACTTTATTGATTGATTTATATGATTGTATTCTCTGTTATAACTTTTATCATGTGCATTATGTTTTCTATATTGTATGTTTAGTTATAATGATTACCATTGTTCATCATGTTCAAATATTTTATCTTTGATAAAGTGAAATAAATAAACTTGAAACTTGTTACATTACAGAACAATACACTGAAGAAAAATAACTATACCCATGCATACAAATTCTTTGGATCCTCGTTATAAATGTGGAAGTTTTTCAACAAAAAACTGTGGCATCGTTCTAAATTTGTATTACATGACTATGAACATGTATTTATAGATTTGTAAGACAGTTTGGGTTTTGTTTTTCTTACCCTGTAAACTCAATGAACTGTAATTCAGCCCTTAATTGGGTCGCTATGTAGAATGAATACCAATACTACTACTTCTATTTCTAACAAGTCAATGCAAAGCGTAGCATCCCCTCGCAGGGTACAAATGACCTATACGTCAGAACATGTTACCTTTATTGGACTATACTATTATATTACTAGGCAAGGAAGTTAACCACATGTATATGTGTACATGTATTTTGATACCATGTATCTTCATATCAAATTTCATTAAAATCCGTCAAACAATACTAAAGTTATGGATCGGCCACCAGATTCGCATATTTAATGAGCTATGACCTTTGACTAACATACTCGGAAATTGAACTTGGCTGTGTTTTGATACCATGTACCATCATATCAAATTTCATTAAAATTTGTCATACATTACTCAAGTAATCGAATGGAAACCAGATTCGCATATTTAATGAGCTATGACCTTTGACCTTTGACCTACGTACTCCAAAATCGAACTTAGCCTGTATTTTGATATCATGTACCTTCATATCAAATTTCATTAAAATCGGTCAAACGTTACTGAAGTTATCGATCGGAAACCAAATTTGTTACGGACGGACGGACGACGGACGAAAGGAAGGACGGCAGTGTTTCTATATCCCCTCCGACGTGAGGGGATAATAATAAGCCATTGCCAAGGCAGTCAAAACACTAAAGTTTGACAAACAGTGATTGTTATTGTTTACGTTTGTTCTGACAAGTGTTGCTGATTGGAGCTAATAAAGTTCAAGGTAGGGATTCTAATTCAAATATTTTGGTGCCTTTTATCAGTGACCTTTGGCTTAGAGGTCACCTTAAAAAAAAATCACAGTTGATGTATTGTGTACATTGAAAGAGGGTTGCATGATAAATCTCTGTTTATTCTGAATTTGCGGTTGTTTCCGATTAGAATAAATACAATGGGGGTTACATGCCCCCTTCCACCCTCCCCCAATTGCTCCACAGTGATTGGAACATCAAGATAACCAATAAAAACAAATATGGAGAGGGAATATTTCTCAACTTGACATGACATACTTCAGGCAATTTGGGCAATTTTCTCTGAGATCCATTAACATGTCCATGTACAAAACCCACTCTGATGACAATAGAAGAAAACTTCTGTCGTATTTCATGAACCTGCATTTTGGGGGTCTAAAAAGTTCTATTTTTTTTCGTCAAAATAATTTAAATATAGATAAGTGCCAACTTTAACCATCTTTTTAGCATTTGTATTTCTGGCATTGTATTTCTAGCATTGTTATGGATTTGATTACTAAAAAACTTCAGAATACCGGTGTACATTTAGCTCAATCCTTATACAATATACAATCAACCTTCCAAGAAATTCTTCAGATCCAGACCCTCCCTTTTAAAGCAATATTTGACCACTAGTACTCACATCAACTTTAAACAGATAAACCTTAATCTAAAAGATATAGAATGAGCACTTTCTAAATACTACAGTATTACAAAATTTATCAAGCATCGAATTCTGAGCTGAAATTCAATTTCCGCAAGATACAATACAATCACACTTTCGATCACAGAAATTTATTGCACCTCAAAAAAAGCCATATAGTCATGGTACTTATAATGGGGATTTCCCCTTGTAAGTTTCATTATCACCAATAGACCACAGTAATTGAAATAACGTGCTTTGGTCATAAGAGCAGAAGGAGTTTTAATAAATAGAGGAAGAAAGAAGCAAAAATGGCAAAATATATGATTTTTTTTTAAATGTCATCATAATATGTTGCAGCCTTCCTACATGTACATGTAAAATATTCCCTAGTGGATTAAAAAACAAAAATCAAAGCATTATAAATCAATTCATTGCTTGATGACAGTAGGATTTCTACAGCCTGTTTGCAGACTTGGTATCACAGCTTTCCTAGGGGGACATTTTAATCGAGTATGTAGCTTATTTCTCGACTTTTCCATCTTCGATCTTATTTACTGGGTGCAAAGATGCCAACCTTCATCAACAAAAAAAGTATTCTTGTTTAAAGAGCAAAAAAACAGTATTTTTGGACAAAAAACAGTATTTTCAAAAAAAATCGCCCAATCGAGCAGCTTAAAAAAAAAAAGCAGTACCACATACCGTAAATCTCTGTGTTCAAGATGCACCTCTATGTTTTGGGCCAAGAAAAAGAAAGAATTTTTTTTTTTTTTTTTCAAAAAACCCATCCCTTTCATTTAACTGCGAGGTGCAGTTGATGGCGCCGATTTGTGCTTATGAACTTGTCACAAATAATATTAACAGTGTCGTTTTTAGAAGAATGTGTAAGATCATTTATGTAAATTAAAAACAGTAGAGGACTTAGGATAGAACCTTGTGGTACACCGTGATATTGAGATCTATTAGAAAAATTAAAACCAAGATGAGAGACAAATTTGAGTGTTGTTCTAGTTTCCGAGTGGTGAGTCAACACTCCGATTACTGAGCTGGGAGACATTGCCAGCCATAGTGGCAGGTGGAGGGGCATAAATCAAAACTTGAAAGAAAAAAATTAAAACAAAATATTTTTTTTTTTTAATAAAAAAAAAAGAAAATTAAAAAAAAAAAAAAAAAAACGTAACATACAAAAAACGTACTGCTGTATTCATAGCAAAAAAAACGGAACAAATACGGCAACAACGGAACAGTTTACATCTCTGCGGGTGTAAGCCACAAATTTGTTTAAATAATTTTCCATACCCGTTTCATAAAACAAATAATTCATGTTTTGAAGCTCATACATTAGTGATAGGCACTGAGCTTGGTTATTAAAGTTACAATGACACAGACAATGAATTTGAAAAGTCTTGTTCATTATCTGGCATATGACTTAAAGAGAAGGTTGAGTTCTGGGAAGAGGTGAAAAATAATTTGTGAGCATTACTCATTCTTATTATTCAAGTGTGGAAGAACATCAGTTAAGACATGTTCCCTGAAAAGCATGGCTCTTCAAATGCCTTCATATTCTAAATATGCATGTAACATCGTAAAAATCGGGGGGGCCGGCTTTTTACGCCACGTGTTCGTGTAGTCCCATATACATCTTTCTGTGCAAGTGTTTGTAACTTTACCAAGACTTGGCCAAATTTCTTATCATTTTGATGATTCCAGAACCTTGCAATACACACAAATTCTTATATGCTAGATGATCAACCTTTTCTGGTCGGTTCCACATCGTTTCTTTCACAATGCAATCGCATGACTAGAACTCAACTTCATCTTTAACTTGCATGTGGTGCATATCACTGATGCACTCACGAACATCAATTATTTGTATAGTAACAAAGGTCTACCTGGGGTCATTAATATCAGTACTATGATAAGGAGTTGAATGCAGGTCACAGTGTGCTTCTAAAACTAGTCACCTTCTACTCTAAAATCTACCGGTATTGAACTTGATGGCTTCAAGTAGGAGTTTATGACATGGTTTGAACTTTGAACCCTGATTCATCTTGCTTAGATAAACAAAAATATGTTATTCAGTCAAAACATTATACAGGATATATTTATTGTTTTATGTTGATATCATTGAATTACCTGTGGTCATTATTATCAGTAATGATAAAAAGTTGAATGCAGGTCACAATGTGCTTCTAAAACTAGTCACTTCTACTCTAAAATCTACACAGTGGCAATGAAATATTGAACTCGATGGCATTAAGTAGGAAACTGTGACATGGTTTGAACCCTGATTCATTTTGCTAAGATTTAAACAAATATGTCAATCATTCAAAACGTTATTCAGGATATATTTGTTGTTTTATGTTGGTATCATTGAATAGTTTCATCGAAAATGGACCAAAGATTCATTTCTTGCTTGTAATCAAATGCAACTGACTTTGGAAAGAGGGCCCTGGATGGACATCTCTGGTATGATCAATCAACCAGTTTGGTTGGAAGACACATGCTCCAACAAAAATTGCTCTAATGTCCCACACTAACCAAATTCCCAACTTCAATCCTCTACACAACACGTTACCTTCCTAAAACCCTGATGCTAATCCTAACCTGAAACCAAAATGCAACCCTTACCCTAGACAGAAATAACCATCTGGTATGGGTCATTCTTTAATAAAACTGATGTTTGTCAACATTCCCAATGAGGCACCAGCTGTAATCTCAGCTGAACAACCGTTGATATCAAAGAATGAAGCTTTTGATCTACCCTAACCCTAATTTTATATCTTTGGTGGAAGAAAGCCTGAAGCAATTATTGCCAAAGCATATGTCGTGGTATGACCAATGTGGCCAACTGCTGTAGATGGCCATACTTACTGGTGTCCTCGGACTGGAAGCCACAGGCGGTGCAGATACTGTGCACCCAGCGCAACATCTCGTCTTCTGTCGCCGTCACCAGGAAGTACTTGCGACGCTGGGTCACGATGTCGAAGATGTGGGCATCCTTGAGTTTGCTCTTGGTCTCGAACGACAGGCCCTGGTCTACCTGCTCACATTCTCGAAGGTTGATGGTTCCTTTGAGCTTGGTGCAGGAGTCGTCCTTGAAGTACTGGAGCAGGATCTCACCTTCGATGCTGCACAGCTGGAAGTAACGTTTGCACCATCTCTGTAAATGGCGAAGAAGAGAGAAATGGTTTCATGAAAATATTATTTTCGTTTATTTAATTTCATTTATTTATTTCACTCTCTTTTTAATAAAAAACATCAAAAGTATATACATGTTTGTTCATTATCAACATAAAATAAAAGGAAGTGGGGAATCATGAAAGCCAAAATTGGCTTGAATGGAATGATCCCCAAATAAATACTTAGCATAAACTTACAAGATACAAACTTATTTTATATTTAAAAAAACATTGTACAGAGGAAAGATAAAGATGAAATAAGGTAAAGACAGTACAGGAAGATAAGAAGACGGAAGTTACAACTTCAGTTTCACGTTCTACATAATAAATGACAATTTCATTTTGTTCCGCTTAAATAACCCTTTTACATATATTTGAAGCATTTCAAATCATTCTATTGTCCTGGCAAAAAAGGAATAGTCTCCATTCAAATTTGTTAGGGGGGGGGGAGTATGGAGACTGTGTAAAAGAAACGACGCATTCACCATCCAGTATAGGCCCATTTACACGTCCCCCCAATTATTTTTTTTGACTGCCATTTACGCTACTCAAAGAACCTATATGCAACTAGCGACGAAACACCAGATTCTACCAGAATCTGAGAAAAATCAAAGATTTTTGCTTGCAGTGTATTAAAATGAAGCTCATGTTAAAGTCTGTTCCAATGTTTACCCGTTTTATTTCCAATTGGTTTCATGAATTTTCATCCAGATATCTTGGGCTTATCAATTATTCAGTTGGTTAAGTTGTTACAATTCAAGCCAGCATGTTCTTATTCTGAGAAACACAGATACACAATCTCTTTCCTGGTATTCGATAACCATAACAATTTACAAAGCATTGTACGCCTGCACGTGCCACGTACACATGGTGGTACCTACCGGTAATATATCAAACATGTGTACAGACCTTAGCAAACTAATCTCTCACTTTCAATGATTTATACTGGTCCATGTACCTGCATGTAAAGCCTACAAAGTGTTGGCCCACGTAAAAAATGTTTATTTCAGACCGTAAATTGCCAATTTGCCGACGTCATGCACCCTGATTTGATGTTTGTCAGTTATCCAAGAATAACTAGATAGGCGTGCACACGTACCTGCAACATTTAACCTAGCACTTTAAATGAGCAGGCATTACGCAGCAAAATAAATCCTCATAGGAGAGTAGGGATCCTATCTCCCCGAGGAAAGTGTGCACAAAGTTGTTAAAATACACCAGGGATGTCATAACTACATTGCACTTATTACTGTACCAAGCCACTGATCCATGCAAGCATAATAGGCGGTGTCACACAGAAGCCAAAGATCCGGATTTGAGTTATCCTCTTAATTGCTGTCTGTCATCAATTATCCCATTAAAAAATCCTCTAACGAAGCAAGAAAATTCTCCCTTGAAAGGATTTTTCAAGGGATTTTTTAAGGGATATTTCTGTGTGACACCGCCTTATGTCATGTAAATATGGTTAAATACCAAATAAAGTAAATTGCAAGTCAATTTCACAACTTGAAATACACATAGTATACAGGTAACTTACAATTGAGTTGAAATTCCAAAGCTGAACAACAACATCTTCTTTCTGGCAACCAGCTAGCACACTAAAATATCAAAGTACACACTGCATACAAGCCTACTTTGATTGAAGTGTGTGAATCTTTCTAAAGTGGTTGTTTCCATTTCAAAGCCAAAGAGCAGTATGATTATCAGACTGGATTTCATCCAACATGACAGGAAAAAACACCCCTAAAATGGTCCTTTGCAGGGAAAAACAACCAACCCAACTGCGCTATCATCAAAACATACTATCCTGTCAAAACAATCCGGTTTAAGTATGACACAACTTGCAATGATAACAATTTTATTTTTTTATTTCAAGGTACTTGAAAGTAAATCATAAAAATTAAGGGCTTCTGATACTCTAAATATTGCGTGACAAATCTGTCTACTTTTCAAGCGGTGGGAAGTGTTTATCTGTTACATTGTCTTCCTATGGTCTTCCCAAATGACCAATAAAGCATAGATGTTGTTCATAACCATGCTTTGTGGCAAATCCCAATTGATGTTAATTGTTTAAAGTGCATGTAAAGTGCGCACATAAGTACCATGTATACGATTGTATTACATTACAAGGGGTATATACATTTGTACATACTGATAAAATAAAAAAACTACAGTTGTACCAATTAACAGTAACTGCCATTAATCTTGAAACTTTAGCTTAACAATACCAACTTGAAAACGCACGTCCTCACAGTTCACCAAAGTTTATCATTACATAAGGATAAATCCTATTTATTAGAGACTCAAATTAATTATATCTGCTAACATTGTTAGAATGCTAGATGTTTGTCTGCAGATCATTACCAAAACTCTAAGGTAAGGGGATAAGGAGTAAAAATGGCAGTGATTAAAATATTTTTCTTATAGCTTTCTGGTAGAAAGGGCCTTTCTAAATGCATTCTAGAGGAACAATGAAAAAAAGGTATTTACTTTTCAGGCATGTTATGACAGTTGAAACCACTTTCATTTTTCAATGAAAATTTATGACTCTTTCAATTATTTTATTACTGGGAAAACGCCATAAAAAATTACCACCATATTTAGAACCACTGCTTCATGTAAACAAATCAAATGCTCTTTTTTTTTTTAATTGTGACTAAGGAATCGGTATGCTTCAGATCATTTTATGAGGAATTAATCAGTTAAAAGCATCCAACACAAATTTCAAAAGTAAAAACTTTGTTTTGCGATGTATTTTTAGATGCCACTATGGTTATTCACAAATGTAAACTGTTTACCTAAGTAGGAACTGAAAAGTTTTAAAGATTCTAGAGTACCTGTTTCCACTCACACCTATTTTCCATGTAATTATCAAGAAATCATAAGCATGACCAAACACGTTTGTTAACAGTTTGCATTCTTCTTTCACAAACTGACCTTTGATCCAAAACGTAATTCTCTCAATGCCACTTTTGACGACATTTAGGGAAGTACACAGGAGGAAGAACTTACTAGAAGAATGGTAGGATGTTTAGGGTATGAAAACGATATATAATTGCCAAACAAATTCCCCAAGACCCATCTTAAATTATTTGATCAAGGGGAGGTGGAAGACGAGAGAAAGTGTAGAGGTCACTAGGCAGGAACCTCTTGCTGAAGTCTCTTCCTGTCATTGTACTCATTACGGTAGCTTGGAACAGAGAGTTGGATATCAAATGTATCTGATTCATGTGTAAATGAGAATGACCATCCATTTCTCAGGGTTCTCAGGTCAAGCAAAGCTTGTTGAACTCTGGTTTGACCTACAGGCCACACAAAAATGCTGCAGATCCAATTAAAGACCCTATCTATCCGATGAAAATATAACTTTATACCACCAGAAAGCTGAATGAACCTAGAATACAAAAATATAAAGGAATACTGTAGGTATTTGCCTTTTCAGTATATTGCACAAAAGTAAATTAAAAACCTCATTTTTCGCACCCCTCCAAATTACGGGTCAACGGGGGTCAAATTTGCCACAGTTACAGTGACGACATAACATGTGGACCCTATCACCTCACCTTTATAGCTGAGGCGATGAGATGTGCTTAATTATGCAGAGTCACTGTGAAAATGCATACTCCACATAAGATGATGTCATCAAGGCGTTTAATAATAACAATAATAATGTCATGTCGTTCGTGTATAACACATATACGTCCCTATGCCCTTAAAAAGGATTTTGGATATTATTACCCAAGCTTTAGCTCCGGCAACTGTATAGTGCCCAGAGCATTCAAGGAATAAACCCTACCAAGTACCCACTTACTACACCTGGGTCGAGTGTGGCAAATGTAGATGTTCTCTGAGAGCTAAATATGCTAAAGTCATATGAAACTTAAATACCTTTTATCACAACTCACTACATATGACATATAAAGTTATAAACCACAACAGACAATCATCTTAGTGTCAAGCATTCAAAATGAATTCACTTGAAGGAAAAGGAAATTCTACCTCAAGTAGCAATAAGCCAAACTCTATAAATGGATTCTTTGAATGTAATGCAACAATACATGACTGTATCAAAACATATTTCTATCATGCAGACTAAATAGGATTACTAAGCAGAGCAAAAAAAGTACCTCTGACTTGATTTATAGGAAATTATCATACTGGGCCTTTCTGTGTTGTAAAACTGGATTCAAATCCAATTCAAGGAATATCCCTGATGAGATTATTTGTACATGTATCCCTTTAATAGTAGAAAAATACATACCTACACGTTCATGTCAATACTTTTATACAAAACATACTGTAGTTGTGTTGTGTTGTGTCAGCGCATACAGCACATACAGTGTGTACATATTTTGTATAAAATCCAAAATACAGTGTGAAATACTGTGTTTCAATGAAACTAAAGAGAGCTATTAAAGATAAGGTATTATATTTCATAAATCTTCCCTGAGTCGCTATTATTAAAGACCACAGCAGTATTATTTTCATGCAAATGTTTATGTAAGATTGTATGCCATAAATACAGGTACTTCATTCCCTACATGTTGGGGGAAACTGGAGAAGGAAGATCATTATGGCCAACTGAGAGATTGATGAAAGGAAGTCCCATTGATGATTTACTTTTACTCTGGTCATCCAATAATAGATGCAAAAGAAAACACTTTGAATGCAAATGATTTCCTGAACAACAAGTACCATGATGTCATTAATAAGAGTCGAGTGTGGGGGGATTGTATGGAAGACTAAACATTCTTCGGGATTGCATCGATATATATATATATATATATATAGATATGTATATATATATATATATATATCGTCTGTTTGGAGCCAGAAGGGCATTAACTCATATATATATATATATATTTCTACTTTATTGTGATAATAATACCCTTCTGGCATTCAACAGATGAATTACAGTATGTCATGTGTACACACTGCACAAGTCATGACAACTAATATTATAAAGCAAGCCTACCAA